ACGAACGGGACCGAGAGAAAACAGCTTTCGTCACGCCAGATGGGCTGTACGAGTTCAAGGTGATGCCCTTCGGACTGTGCACGGCTCCAGCAACTTTCCAGCGTGTCATGGACACCATACTGGCAGGACTGAAGTGGCAGAGCTGTCTCGTCTACCTCGATGACGTCGTAGTGTTTTCCAGCGACTTCGACGAGCACTTGCGACGACTCCGAGCAGTTCTCCAAGCCATACGGACCGCCGGACTCACCCTGAAGCCGTCAAAGTGTCGGTTCGCCTATGACGAACTGAAGTTTCTAGGTCACGTGGTTAGTAACGAAGGCCTTCGCCCCGACCCAGAGAAGACTCGCGCCGTCGCAGCATTTCCAGTACCGACAGACAAGAAGGCCGTGCGAAGGTTTCTTGGACTATGTGCCTACTATCGGCGCTTCATCCGGGATTTTGCAAGGATTTCCGCACCACTCACAAACCTCACAAAGGACGCTGAGAAGTTCGAATGGGCCGAGAAGCAGCTACAGGCATTCGACAAGCTGAAGCGACGACTGCAGACTCCTCCTGTTCTAGGACATTTCGATCAAGATGCGGAAACCGAAATTCACACGGACGCAAGTAACGCTGGACTTGGCGCGGTACTGGTTCAAGTGCAAGGCGGCACCGAGCGAGTTATCGCCTACGCAAGTCGGACACTGTCCAAGGCGGAGAAAAATTACTCCACGACTGAGAAAGAATGCCTTGCTGTCGTCTGGGCAATCACGAAGTTTCGTCCGTATTTGTACGGGAGCCCGTTCCGTGTACGGGCCACCACTCGCTCTGCTGGCTTGCCAACCTCAAGGACCCGTCAGGACGCCTCGCTCGATGGAGTCTACGACTACAAGAGTTCAACATGACTGTGGTCTACAAGTCAGCTGGCCGCAAGCACAGCGACGCCGACTGTCTGTCCAGAGCCCCCATCGAAACACCTTCCGGCAGCAGCAACGACGAAGACGACGAGTGCTTCCTAGGTGCAGTGAACACCGACGACATGTCACGACGTCAAAGAGACGATCTTGAGTTGCGCGCGCTAATCGAGCACCTCGAAGGACGAGGGAATACTGTCCCCCGTGTCTTGTCGAGAGCCCTGCCGACTTTCGTCCTCCGACAAGGTGTACTTTACAAGGAGAACTTCGGAGACAACAGCACACCATGGCGTCTGGTAATCCCCACCGACCTTAGAGAGGAGATCTTCAAAGCCTGTCACGACGACCAGACGTCCGGACACCTTGGTTACAGCCTTACGCTGGCCCGAATTCGTGAAAGGTATTACTGGCCCAAGCTGCCGAAGACCGTTCACTTCTACACACGGTCCTGCCACGAGTGCCAGCGACGCAAACCGCCGACGAAGCCAGCAGGTTTCCTGCATCCGATCGCTCCCCCGACCGTACCGTTCCAGCAGATCGGAATGGATCTACTTGGTCCTTTCCCACCATCGACGCAAGGAAACAGATGGATTATTGTCGCCACAGATTATCTTACACGGTACGCCGAAACGAAAGCCCTTCCTGTAAGGACTGCTGTGGAAGTCGCCAAGTTCTTTATCGAATCCATCGTCCTCCGGCACGGCGCTCCCGAAGTCTTGATCTCAGACCGTGGATCATCGTTCATGGCCCAGCTGACGCAAGAAATCCTTCGTCTCAGCCACACCAGCCATCGGCGCACAACGGCGTACCACCCGCAGACCAACGGGCTGACGGAGAGACTCAACAAGACCATCGCCGACATGATCTCCATGTACGTCGACGTGGAGCACAAGACATGGGACGAGGTGTTGCCGTATGTCACATTTGCCTACAACACGGCCGTGCAAGAGACCACCGGGGTGACACCCTTCCAACTGGTTCATGGTCGTAAAGTAACGACAATGCTGGGCGCGATGTTACCCCACGAACCGGCTCTCGACGGAAGCGACGACGCCCAGGTGGTTGCCCAACGGGCAGAAGAAGTCCGCCAGCTCGCCAGACACCGTATTCAAGCCCAACAACGTGTCGACACTGGCCGCTACAACCTTCGTCGTCGGGATGTCCACTTCCAGCCCGGAGACAGGGTATGGGTGTGGACACCGATCCGCCGCCGTGGTCTCAGTGAGAAACTCCTAAAGCGCTACTTCGGACCCTACAAAGTACTTCGTCGACTCGGGGATCTGAACTACGAGGTGATGCCCGACGGAACACGGACTTCATCACGCCGCACTCCACGACCGGAAGTCGTCCACGTCGTGCGCCTCAAGCCGTACTATGCGCGATAAGACTGCGAACTGTGATCTTGTGCACCGCTTGATAGGATTGTGTTTCGCGAGCCTCCGTATGTTCCCATTTTTTTGTTTGTTTCGCTCTGTTTTGTTGCCTTTTACGTGGCATCGAGATGATGCCTTTTTAAAAAGGGGAGTAATGCCACACTCGTCAGCGAGCGACCGCGCGCGTGGCCGAGTGGTTACCGTGCTTGACTGTCGTGCAGAAAGTCTGGGTTCGATTCAAGTCAGTGGAATGCTCTTTTATTTGTTCTTTCATTGCGTTCTCGTGAGTTCGAGAACATTCTCGTCAGATCGAGTTCTGAATGTTCCAGTCGCCGAACAATCTAGGCCGATTGCTCTAGAACCCAACGCGCGTACATAAGGGACTCCGCGTGCTGATCTGCAGTCAGTTTTCGCCTAGCGTTCGACTCTGCAGCTACGCCGACTTCGACGCCCGCGACGCTCCGTTATTATCTTTTGTACCCTTTTATTTTTGGCACAAGTTCGCCACATTAAACGTTTATTTCTTTCTGTTTATTTATTGTTTATTGGTCACCACCCGTGACAATATTTTGTTAGTTTGCAACCTAGACTTTTGATGGTTCTACGTGACCGTGTTGCTGCGTACAGGCTTTCTTAGCGAAAACAAAGTCACGTGGTGCCATCTAGACACAAGGCTGCACACTAACGAATTATTAAAGCCCAAAACCGAGAATGTGCGATGCGACGACAGTGCACGGGTCACGGTACAGCGATGTCGCTACTAACAGTCGCCACGGCACTTCTGTTCTCTAGGTGCATCCCTTGACAGTGACAATGTACCTATAATCTATTATTTCTCACCTAAAAACTTCGTAGTATGTTTGCTTTGTGGGGCCGTGCAATTGCTTCCTTAAACAGAAATATTCATTAAAAGGGAATTCGTAGTAGTAATAGTTACAAAAACACATGGAACACATAGATTCGCCAGGTACTTTGTTTTTGCTTCATTTAATGGGCGTTTTCATAGTTTGTTATTGGGGATTAGATCAAACAGACACGCCTCTAGTGGTGCACTTCAGCTGAGGGGACAACAAACCGTCTTTTCTTGTCCGTTTTTGATCCGAGAAATCGAAGATGACGATTCGAAGGCCGCTCCTCATGCAACTAAAGCACTGGTCTGAGCAAAGCGTTCGTGCACAGACGGTGCTAGGCAAAGGTCAATTTGTTTATGACGTGTTAGTATAGACACCAAGCTCTGGGGAAAACAAGGCCAATAAAGCGACCCCTATAGTTCTATCCCCTGCCCAATAAAGTCGTTGGACGTGAAGTGTTGTTAGCACTGGGGGTCACAAAACAATGCCACCAAAAAGTAGCAGTCATGCCGCTATATGTTACACAAAAGACAGTCTTCTGAAACTGTTCAGTTTCTTCTTTGTATGACGTTCCTTTTGCATTACCGTAATATCCCGAGTCATCGCCCATCCCCGAGCCATCGCCCACCCCATTTTTTGGGCCAATATCGATTTCCGAAAAAACACCGAGTCATCGCCAACTCCTTCAAATACCCCAGCGCGGACTCTGCGATCCGCGAACACACATCCTACCCGAATGACGTGGCCGCGGACCTTACAGTTCGAGGACGTCCGTGACAAAGTAAAACAAAGGAGGGAAAGACACTTCCTTTTGTTTACCTCCGTGAGCGAACCCAAAGTGGTCGTGTATCCGTGCGAAAAGAAAACGATGGAGATAACAAAATAAGAGTTTGTTAATGTAACCGCGGAGTGTTAGGTCAAAGTCTGTCTCCGCCGAAGTAAGGTCACCGCGAACCCGCTCCTTCTTCCCGCCCGTCGCAACTGCGGTTGTGCAATATTTTAGGCAAAGCCAACGCGTAAATAAAGCTTTGCTGGAACGCCCTACACAGACGTTTGCAGAGCGTCCCAACCGTGCATTGACAGCCCGCCGTGCACGGACGCACGTATGTACGCACCAAACAAGAAAGTTGCGCAAGAGCTTGCAATTGACAAGGCGCCCGACTTGGCACGACGCCAAAGTATTTATTTGCCAACGCGACCGCCGGCTTTCCCGCTTTCCCAGCATTGCTCTTGGTCGCTTCTTTGGTCCGCTCGCTCGCTCGCTCGCTCGTTGCGCCTGGTAGCTTTTTCTATTTTCTTGTAGACTTTTCTTTCTTTTTTTTTTTTACTAACTAGGAGAACATAGTGGTGACATTCTTTCACGGAACAAACGTTCGCGCTATATGCAGATCGGCGGTGTTTCTAGCGCGTATGCAAGCAACGGACTTCGCTATAGTAAAATATTCTTTCGTGAGCATTTTTTTCTATAAAACAATGAAACTAAATCAAGTTTTGAGTTTGATGTTTCTCTTGTGCACCAGCGCCAGATACGCAGAGAAAAATAGGCGGTTTTTTCCGCTTTTTTTCAAGTGTTTGGGCTCACCCACCGAGACATGGCCCACCCCACTTTTCTAATGAATTTCAGTTGGTAGGGGGGTGGGCGATGACTCGGGATATTACGGTAGTTGTACAAAACCCGTCCGCAGACATGTCTGAATTGCACATACATACGAAACCAACATGCTTCGAACGTGCCCAAAGTGTGTCTGCCAACAAGATTGTCGTTGTGTCGGCAGCGAACACTGTGTCCTTTGTGTCACGACCGAGCAGCCCAACCGCAGGGTCTTCCAGGTCCCTCCGGGATTCAGTCCCACCCAAAGATGCGATGTGCAAGACCCCCTCACCTGCAGGCAGGCCTTGTGGAAGGAGTGTTGGCAGCACGGCGTGATCAGGACCTGCGGGGAGGGCTCCGACACCATGTCGCAGGCACAGATGAGGCAGGAGGTGGTGCCAGACTCCTTGGGTCGCATCCGCTGATGGGGACGGTGGTCCGGACAGTAGGCCCTGGTGGAGAAGTCGGCCAAAAAATTAACGTCCGCATCTCTCCGGTACGTTCCCAGAGGCACTCTGAATGCGCTTAAAGGTTTTCCATGTCACATCACCAGACACGTCGCAGTGCCACGTGACGTCACATGGTCATAAGGGAAGTGTGTCATCATGTGACCTCATGCGACGGCACGTGGCCGTGCGTTACATGACGCGATGCCCTGGTGTCGTGTGATTTAACATTGTCATGCTACACTATGTTGTCACTTGACGTCACTGTGTCGTGCGACGGAAGTGAAGTCACATCACAAAATACCATGTTCGCATGATTTTAACGCACCCCCAATTCTAATGCGCAAGCAGATTTGGCTTCCAGATAATCAAAGTAAATTGCTGCCGATTCCACTGCGCAGGTAAAATAATGATGATTGAACACATACCTCATAGAACATATTTTATGAAAGGCACACCAACATAAAAATAAATGCCGTGCACTAGTCGCCGTTGAAGTCCGACGATTGTTCTTCGCTGTCCACAGAGGTGATCCCTGCTTCCGTCTAAAGTGTTCTAAGGGGGGACGCAGGTTCTAAAAATGCAAAAAATCGCGAAAAAGTTCATTTTTCAGAAATCCTGTATTTGGATGCCTTACATATCCAAGCACCTCTCTTCAAAACATTATAGCGTAATTCAAACTCAAAGTATAAAAAAAACAATAATTACGTCGTGCGGAACGCGCCCAAAATCTTCCCGAAAGAGTAAATTGATGTCGAAACGCGCGCCCTCCGCACGCCCGTTTGCGGCCATTTTGGTCTCGTTAGAAAGCTTGGTTCTTTGTCTACATTTTTGGCGCCCTTAAAAATGGCGTCCGCCCGGGGAAAGCTCAGAATACCGCATTTCCCCGAAGAAAGAAACCGAGCTACCGATTGGCTAAGAAGCACGGGTCGCAGCAAGCGCTGTCGCTATTGGCCAAAGCACATGCCTCCTCTCCTGAAATATGTCATTCTCTCTCTCCTCTCCTTCGTCGCGGTGCGGAAGGAGTCGGGAGCAGCCGATATCGGTGTTTGTCGTCTGCTAGCGGTTGCGTTTTGGCTTCAAGCACGTTATTTTTCGGCGTTCGCCTGCTTTGTTTAGCTCGACGTCTTTAGGAGACATCGGTAGTTATCGCGATGCCTAGCGTGAAGCTTTCAACGCAGCGTGCGTACGGCAAGCGGAAGCGTCGGGCGTAGAACAAGAGGACTTCGCTCGCATCGCCAGCCGCGTTGCTTGCGGCGGACATGCGGCAAGTTCAGCTGTCAGCAGCTGCATCGTCTTCCGAGGTGCCCGCCCCTGATGTGAGCAACAAAGAAGACGACGGCTTCGGCCCTGGTGCGTCACGACTCGACTCGCATTTCTACACGGCAAGCGAAACTGCTCAACGTGCAGCGCGGACTGACGAGATGAAGCAGGATTTGGCCGCAAGGTCTGCCACACAGCTTTAGTTTGACCTCCTCAATGTCACTGTTGAGGATAAAGAGACAGATTTCGGCACGCAATTCGTGATCATGGATTTGAACGTGCTGAACTTGTTCTTTGCGACCACCAAGTGTGAGCAGTGCGGAATGGCCGCGCCCATTCACAAGCTGGTGCTTTGAAAACGTCCCCACGTTCCCCAAAAAAGCCCTTCTGAGGGCTAACCAATTGTTGCAGATGGGGCTGCTTTCCCTACCAGTGTCTCTCCCTTAGTATGAAATTCAAGCCAAAGGCATTCCACCCATCTAAAGCTACAATGTTGTTAGTTTCGCATACCCAAATTTCAAAGTCGATTTTCTCAGCTTTGGTTTTTTCAGCCTCTTCACTGGCCAGGAAGGCTTTTTGATTCACTTGCGCTCAACCGATTTTCATAAACTTGGTACCATATTCTTTGGAATGAACTAGACTGCAAGCTAAAGCTATTTTTATTATGATATTCTGTTGTATATAAAACTGGCATTTCATTATTAGACATTGTTATAGCTTCTATTGTATGTCTTCTATTCACTTTAATTTTTTTACATGATTATATGGTGCTAAAGAAATAAAAATAGCTTTAGCTTGTATGGCATTTCTTTAGGAAGCAATTGGTACCTTTTTTTCATTAAAATTTTAATAAGAAGGTTTTTAAAACTTTTCCTCAAATTAGCTAATTAATATTTTATTATGTTGATAACTTTTGACAAAGAGGAGATATCTGAAATCTGATTGCAGTTATGAAATCGGCACAATAAACTGCATGCCTGCGCAAAATATCACTGAGATAGACCAATGAACAAAAAATAGTTTTTGAGAACCCACTTCCTCCCTTAAGTGCTATGCTTCCTGCGCATGTAGGAGTGCGCAACCATCACTATGGGAGGGTCGTTTTCCAAACAACACTTTGCGGGCTCGTCGGGTCGCTGGGATTGCGAGGCCACGCAGCGCTGCTCCATTGTTATATTTTCCCACCACCCTGATGGCCTCTCAGTGGCATTTATTTTTGTCTTTCTATCTTAAAATGACAGACACAAGTTCGTCGATGCGAGAGAATGCGCGTGATACGTGATACGGATACCAAAATGGCGAACGTAAACAAACGGTCACAATGACGATGGGGCTAGCCACCATATACCGAGCATAGCATTTTTCAAGAGTTTCGGTTTTCGGTTTCGATTCCAACGTGCATGTAGATTTTGGCACAAATTTTGGCGAAAAAAAGTGTGCTTTAAAATTCTGCAAACACAGTACTTGACAAGTCATCCGGCATCGTGGTGCAACAACACAAACTGCCAAGTCAACATGTTAAAGCCTGTTTGGACTTAAAGTTAAGCATTAACTGAGGTTTGATCCAGTGGTGGAAACAGCGCTGACCTTAGTGCAGCACTTGTCGATACATTGCTGAAATTGGCAATTAGATGTTTTAGGGGTATACCCTGCTTTGTATCTTAAAGGGACTTTGCATAGAGTTTTTGAGCATTTTCTAATTTGCATCACATTCACTTGAACTAGTGAGTGTCCCACTCACTAGTTCAAGTGAATGCGATGCACTTTAAAAATAAAATAAAGAAGAAATCTGTTTTATTTTAAACAAAATAGGTGAAAGAAGTTTAGAATTTTGAGCATATCTTCTATTGTTGATGATGTCCTTGGTCTGAAGAAATAGAGAACCAAAATGACAAAAGCGTGCAACAAACATGCAAAATCTTCCTAATAGTTGAAATTAACATCCAGTTATGAAGATGTGAACGCCCCAGCGGTTTACTATTGTTCCAAGCAAAGAATCGCGCACTTCAACCGATCAGAAGTGGTCACGTGCAGATATTTAGCCAGTCCTGCCCCTAGAATTCTATGTCGTCATTAACCACCACTCTAGACAAATGTCGTTAGTGAACGCTCGTGTTTGACACTGATAGGCACGCCCTTCGAAGCAGCATCTGGGTTTCTTCGTTCCTTTGCACGGCCCCTTTAAGGGCACATGCGCCAGGGGAAAACATCTTTTTTTATTGTTTACAATATTAAATTAAAGTTTTGCAGTCTGTGGTGCTGAATCTTTTCTTTATAAATCTAGTGTCAGGTTTGATATGGCTTGTTTTTTACATTCTCAATGCAATGTACATATAGAGAAAAGCATGTCTCTGTGCACACATGAGCCATTGCAACACATTTAAGAAAGCCTAATATAAACTAATTTGCTTTTTATAAACCACTTAGTGCAATAAAAAAAAATAATGTGTGCGGTGCTTTTTTCATTTTAAAATATTTAAAGGTGCGAAAATGCCATTTCAAGGGTGCCTAACAAAAGTTTCTTAAATTTTTCATAAAAATAAAAATGCTTATTCTAACCAAAGCTAGACAGTTGTGCTATACATACTCTGAAGTATATGCATGTCAAATCTGGTTGTGATAGGACAATATTAAAAAGAAATTATGCTGCACAAATTCTGAAAACATCCTTAAATTATACCTGAAAAAAAAAAAAAAAAAACTTGTTTGAATGTTACCGCAGATGTGTAGCTATATTCTTTCGCAATACGGAAAATAATATTTTGTTTAAACATTTTCGTCAGGAATTGAAGCTAAGACTGCAATGGGAAGGAGATGGCTAGGACTACCTGTCAACCTAAATGTGATGGTGGGTGACGTCGCAACTTGAAGAACCACGCAGCGGAAAATGGCTCAAATTCATGCCGTTCTGGGCTGCCTGAAGGTCTTCAAATGCATATTTGTCTAATTCAGCGATCATAACCGCCACTAATTATTTCTATACATCAAGTATAAAGATTCAAAAATAATAAAACAGCATAAAAGTCAAAATCACATGTCCCCTGGACTGGGAAGTCACGACAAGGATTATCGGTCGTGAGCGGCAAATTTGACAATGTGCATCATAAGCACTAAGGAAGTGAAACCTTACTCTTATTTTTGGCGAGGAAAGCAGAATTACTCTCCTCACTCAAGACGTAGAGGATTTGGCCAATCACACAAGGCTAACCACAGTGACGCAATAGACTTTTTACAAAACGTACAGCATCACGACAGCAGGAAATTTCGGGAACCCTTGGTACAGATCACGCGCTTTCTGGTTGCACCTCCGCGACTGCGTGCGCATCACGGCAGCTACTGCCAGTAGCCGTCGCAGCCAACCGCCATCCCGCCCATCTGCTAGAAAGTCATAAGTTGTTGGCGGCGTACCATATCTGCGGCAGCGTAAACGCTTAGTGAAAGGTGATCTGAATACGTTATTGGTTGTAACTTACCTTCACTTCTCGCAGTGCCACAGAATTCACTTATTTTGCACCGCGACCGTGGCAGGGTTCGTCTAGGTTCGACAAAGTGTCGGTGCAGCAGACCACAGAGGCGGTGCGGTAAAAGGAGGGATGAAAAAGATTTGAGGTAAACCTAAACACTTCTTATGAGTTGCGAATGTGAAAGCATGTACATCATTCTTGCTGTATGCGTGTTGGCATGCTGACTGGTGCTGACCTGGTGAGTTCCTGTATAGGCTCCCTACAGGAACCTGAGTTGCA